TTGAACCGCGGTCCCTGTGTTTTGCTTAGCTTAGCTTGTTCTAAGTAGGTGCTTTAGACCACTGAGCCATCTCACCAGCCCCTATATTTCTACTTATATTTTTCCTTTAGCTTTCTACTTCTTTCCTTTCCCCCATATTTTTACATCTGAGAACTCTTTTTCCTTTTTGTGAAGGATAGAGAGGAAGTTCTTTTTCTGACAGCCTTACTGGGAAAATTCGCATAACATTAAATTCTTGTTTTTAGAAGGATTCTTTGTTTTGGCAGGCTCAGGCTGCCTTAAGGGTGGGTCTGGTGTGTGGCATGTGGTGCTGGGGATCGAAACGTGGCCCCCTGTACCTGACTGAGTTTGCCTAAGCAGACGCTCTATAGACAACTGAGCTAACCCACAAGCCCCCATAGTCTCATTTTTGAAGTGTAAGATCATTTTATGTGGCCTTTTGAGACTGCACTTTTTTTTTCTTTTGGCTGACTCAGCCGGCCCTGTGGGCGGGGCTGGCACAGCATGTGATGCGGGGATTGAACCTCGGTCCCCTGTGCCTGTCTGAGCGTGCCTAAGCGGGCGCTTTAGACCACTCCGCTATCTTGCCGGCCCAAGGCTGGAGGCTTTTTTTTTTTTTTTTTCTTCCATTTAATATGTTTCAAGATTCAGCCATCTGGCAGCATGTATCAGTACATTATGTTATTTTTATGGTTGAAAATTTTTTTTTTCCTTTTTGAGACAGGGTCTTGCTATGCAGCTGAGGCTGGCCCTGAGCTCACTTTGTAGCCCAGGCGGGTCTTGAACTCACAGCCTCCGAATGCTAGGATTCCAGGTGTGTGCCGCCATACCCGCCCCTCTTAAATTTTGTTATTCTCACACAATTTTTTACTAATTAGTTTGCCTAGTTACTTAGTGTCATTTTCATCAGCCAACCTGCAACTGTAATTGTTTTCAGAACAAGATTTATTGACAAATCCTGTATTTTTGGCAAGTGCTTCTTTTCTTTCAGTTACTTTTGATAGATGAGAGTAGAGTTCATTGGCAGCTTCAGTTTCCCAAGCACCAAACTCATCTTGCTTTTTCTTTTATAAAAATTAAAAAATTAATTAATTTGGTACAGGGTCTCACTATGCTGCTCGTACTCCTAGTGGTCCTCCTGTCTCAGCCTCCCCAGTGCTGGGATTACAGGTGTGCACCACCACACGTGGTCTCTGTGGCTGGCTCCGTGCGCCCTGGGCAGGCATGGCAAGCATGAGAGTTCAATCCCTGGTCTCTGTGTTTGTTTTAAGCAGGTGCTTAGTCTGCTGACCTATCGCCCCAATCCTCTGCTTTTTCAATTTTGTCCCAATTTCAGGAAGACTGCAATAAACATCTACCTCCAAAGTCTCCTGTTCCAGGGCTGGGGAGATGGCTCAGTGGAATAAGTGCTTCCCTGGCAAGCACAAGGGCCTGTGTTCAATCCCCGGTTCTACCAAGAAAAAAAAACAGACACAAAAAACAAAGTCTCCTGTTCCGATATTGTTTTTTGTCTTTACCTGTTGTGTTTTTGTGTGAATTCTGCACTGAGATTAGAGTAGGACTTGTGCAGCAGGGTTGGGTCCTCCTTCAGGTGCCCAGACTACAAGCAGGCTCGACTGAGACTGTGTGCAGATTGTAGGCTGAGGACTGTATGCTCCTGGACATAGACAGGCATAACCCAGGGTTGCTGCTGTGACTCAGCTGCAGGGCAGTGGAGACCTCCTTACTGTATTTTTATCTTTGTTTATTTATTTTCTCTTTTTAGTGTATTTGGTACAGGGTCTGCAGCTTGAACTCGTAGTGATCCTCTTGTCTTCAGCCTCCCCAGTGCTGGGATTATAGGCATGCACCACCACACCATCTCAGTGGCGTCTCAGCATGCCTGGGGGTGAGGCCAGCACAGCATGTGGTGCCAGGCATCAAATCCTGGTCCCTGTGCTTGCCTAAGCAGGCACTTAGTTGGCTGAACTATCTTAACTGGCCCTTGACCTCCTTATTTTAGACTGTATACCTACCTACCTAAAAACAGAGTTAACTGTGAGCCTCAAGCAGGTCCTCTAAGGCTGTGGTTCCCAGTCCTTTCTGGCACCAGGGACCAGTTTCCTTGAAGACAGTTTTTCGGGGGTAGGGCACTATTTGAAATGATTCAAGTGCGTCACATCCTTTGTACACTTGATTTCTATTATTATTACATTATAATATATAATGAAATAATTGTACAACACAGAATTAATGGGAAAATTAGTGGGAGAATGAGCCCTGAGCTTGTTGTCTTACAAGTAGGGCATTCCACTTAGAGGTGATGTGAGATGGTGACACTCTAAGTTTGCGTATGTAATTTACTCTTTATTTTTATTTTTATTATTTTTTTAATTTATGTCATTCACTCTTTGATCTTGTTTTAAAACTGCTTCACAAGGATAAGATGTTGGAAATGGAAGCAGGTGGCATTTCAGTATTTTTTGGCAATATGAAGATATTCTTCCTTGACTTTAATGAGTCTGCAAGCACTTGATTTCTTTTATTTTTTTTCCATAATTTGATTGAGAAACAAATAGCAATGAGACAGTTTCAAACCAAATTGGTAGGACAGTTTCAATAATTAACACATTGCATAAATTCTTCCTAGTGGTTAATTGCTGTACAAGATGC